TCTTGCCCCTCAACTGAACTGAGATTCCAGAAAAAAGGAGGGACAGTCACTTTTAACTTTTTCTTTCTAAGGCCCTATCTTGCACCCACTGTGGTGAACATTGGACAATGGGGTGGGTCTTTGCTCCCTGTTTATCAACTGAGACATCACTTGTCATTTGCGTCCTCATTTTGCTCATCTGTAGAATAGGGGCAAATAAATCCTACTGAAAGTGTTGCTGTCAGGTTGAAGGGTGAGAAAGTGAGTGGCAGTGCCTGGAGCTCAGGAAGTGCTGGGCACCAGGCGCTTGCCTCTTGGTTTTTACCAAGAGGCCTCTAGGTTTTTACCCTTCTGTCCTTTGGACTCCTGCTGATCAGGTTTCTTAATGTGTGTAAATAAGTGTCCTTAGGTCTCTGTGCCTTAAGTAAGATGGTGGCAGAGAGGAAACCATCACCTTCCTGCACAGGTTTCCTGGACGAGGCAACAGTGTGTGTGTGGGGGATAACCCCAGCACAGCCCCAGCCAATGATCTGAGGTGCATGCTACCTGTCTAAGAAATCTGGCCCCCTAGACGGGGACATTTTCTACTCTAGACATCACCTGCCTCCTACACACATGGGGTGGGGGGAGCGTTATTCCCTAGCAGCCAGCTGGCCCAGCTCTAACCCCCCCAATACTGCTGCTGCTTCAAGAACTTGTTTTCTTGACCTTTCTGCTTCCATGCCTCCACTGGGGATTTCCTTGCTCACTCGACACCCAGAATAGGGAATGGGAAGGAAGGGAGAAAGAGGATGCAGACTTTCTGGAGTTAAGGGTTAGGGGTAGAGCCAATTCTGGCTCCTTCAGTCCATTTTGGGTAAACTTACTGCAGTGACCCTACCGGTTTGGGTGCAACATCAAGTGTCTATGAAATGTTTAATACTTCTGCAGCTGTTACCTCTGGAACCCCCGTGCACCACGTAAAAACAGCCCAGAAGTAAATCTAAGTTCTTACCAAGTTGTCCTGAAAGGGAACTGTTTGAAACAGACCATGGAGTCCTCCTGAAATACACCTGGTGCATTCATCAATAGTGTGGTTTCTCATTCTCCTTTATGATGCACCCAAGTCCAGTTACCATAAGAAAAGTGTCAAAGTTGGTATTTGGAGTGGGAATTAGTGGAGTTGAATATTAAAAAATTATTTCACAAAGAATTGTGAGCTAAATATCTTGCAGGAATCTGACAGAGCAAGCAAAGCTGTTTCTACTGGGACGAATAAAGAACAAAGTTTCCAGTTAAACAAACAAATTGGACAATTCACGTCTGAAGAAGGCTTACGAGGGTTGCCACTTATTTCATTTACAAAATTCGGTCTGACTGTCCCTGTGGATCGAATTCCCTGGGCATTAGCTAGACTGTTCTAATTGCGGAGACTCAGCCACCGCCGTGGGTTGTGTGTGTGTGTGTGTGTTTGTGTGTGTGTGAAGGTCAGGTCGTAATGGGGTGTGTGTGGGGGGAGGTTTACTAACCCCTCTGAATTCACCTTATGGCCCTTTTAGACGAGAATGAGGCCAGAACAAGGGCTAAGAAAAATGTACGAAAGAGTCCACTACAAACTGGACTGAAGGAGAACCGGCAAACCGGCCCTGAAGCCAATCCGGAGGAAAGGAACGTATCGCATTGAGGTGCAGATGTGAAACACCCACAGAAAAACAAACCAACCCCGGAGGGTTCGTTTAGGTAGAGTTAACAAAGGAGCGCGCCGGGTGCACGGCGGAATACCCCTCACTCCAGTTTTGCCTAAGTAGATTGTCGTGAATTATTTCAATAACGTTCATCTTGGAATTTTCTCGACCCGGCTAAGGCGCGGAACGAAGCTCGCCCGCAGGAGCCGGAGAGGCGCGCGCGGGCTCGACACCCCGCGGGGCCGGGCTTCCCGGGGCCGCAGCTGCGCCCGCCTGGCCGGGTGCGGCTCGGGCGGGTTTTGTGCTGCGAGTTGCAAGAGAGGAGGTTTGTTCCGGGGGAGCCCGAGGCTATAGAGATGGAGCGGCCCTCCAGGCGCAGCCGCCGCCCCTGGCTCCATTACTAACCAACTCTTCGCGCGGGTGGCCGATTCGGTGGCCACCCTCTCCCCAAACCTGCACAAATCTAATTAAATCCGACTCTGTTGGCAGAACGCTCGCGATTCCCCGAAGGCCAAGGCGCCGCCTGGCTGGGTCCGTGCCTGCTTCCCTTACCTCTCTGCCCCGTCGGGCCCCCTCCCCGCGCTCACTCGGGAACTTGGGTGTCCGCAGCTCACGGTCCTTGGGGTCCCCAGCAGTGCGACGGCGCGCGCGGCCGTGGGGAAGAAGCGCCGGGTGCAGTGTGGCTTCTCTCTTCCCGAAAGGCTAAAGTTACGAGGCTATGGCTCCTCAAAACTACCCGAGGCAGGGCACCACGACCCCCAAACTTGTCCCTGGGAGGTGGGGTGGGGGCACCCGTCGGGCGCAACACGCTGGTTGGGGCGGGCTGCAGGGAATCAGCAGAAATGACCAGCTCGCTCGTTCCCGGAGGGGCATAATTTGGGTGGCAGCTGTTGTGGGAGAGAGCGGCCAGCGTCCTTCACCCGGGTTGTGCCCTTTAACCCCAGCCAGCCCAGACCTGAGGGCAGATGGACCAGGCCTGGTCCCGGCCCGCATGGCACGCTGACCCTCCGGCTAAGCTCGGTACCTCTACTGGACAGCATCAGGGTGAAGATAGGTCCCGTGAAAGAAAAGAATCGCCAGGCTCATCGACACGTCGGGAGAGGCTCACGGGCTGTTCAGGACTCTCCATCTAGGAGCCGGAGCCATTGGCTTCCCTGGGTGCAGATCGCCTGCGGGAATGGGGGCGGGAGGTTTAGTGAGGTTTATAAAGAGCTGGGATGGAAGACTCCGCATGCTTAGCATTTGCAAGTGATCGAAATTATCCATAAAACCTGCAGATGATAGAGAATTGCTCAGTTGAAACAAGATAGTAAGTTTTACAATTTTTTCTCCCACCCTCTTCCTTTCTTTGGACAACTCCTGTTTTACTTGGCTTTTAGAAAATGGTCCCGGCCCATTTTCGAATGCTCGATTGGCTTTCATTGTTCCTTGCTGTCCCTTTTGTCGAACTGGGAGGACCAAGCCAGAGCCATGGGTCAAGGGTACCCCAGTGGACACCACCCAGAAGAGGGAGGTTTCACGTTCTCTGCAACCTTCCCCCCTAAATCAACTACCCCAATGCCCGGACCCCAGGTTTATGCAGAGAAGGTCCGTGCTTTCTCCCCACTGTTACTTTTCCTCCTCTTCCAGTTCCCTGTTCCCATCAATTTTCAAGTTAGTCTCGGCAGTGAAGACTGGCTCCTCTTGAGCGACATTCGCCTGCGAAATCTGGGGTCATGGTTTGCCCCAGGAATAGAGCGGAGGCACCGACCCATCTTTTTCTCAAGGAACTGGATTTTCTGAAAGTGTGAATTTCCTGTCGGCGCAGGCAAACGAGTTGCAAGGTGCTGTGTCCTCTAGCGGCAAACTCTCGCAGTTCATTCCTGAGCGCTCAACTACACCTATGGGACATGGTCGGGAATCAGATCATGTTCAAATTTGAGTCCTAAGATTTTTTTTTTTTTTTTTTTGGTGGTGGTGGTGGTGGGGGAGGGGAGCAAGGAATCTCCTAAATGTAATCCAGGCTTTCGCCAAGGCCCTCTGCGTAATGAGGCCGAGTGGCTCGGGCTCAGTCGTTGGAACTGTGGAACAGCTGATTGTCTCCATGGCAGATGGTCTTTGAGCACAGATTTGCATTCATTGTCTTCAAATCTGTTTTCGCGCTGGTGTTCTAGATTTCAGCAGCAGATCTATGCACAGATCAGAATACAAAGGAAGAAGCAAGAAAATAACACCCAGCCAGGAGGATTTTTAATAGGCACCGCGAGCTGCCCGGCGTAGTTAAAAAGCCGTCTAGCGTTTCAGCTGTTTGGGGGAGCTGCAGACGCCTCCCGGACACCAGCCTCCGCCAGCCCAGCGGCGATCGCGCTCGGTGGGCAAAGTTTGCGCGACTTCCCGCTGCCCATCCCTGCACCCCCCAGCTCCCTGCGCGCTACCCCGGGCTTGGCGAACCCGGGCTGGTGGGGAAGGAAAAAGAGGAATGGACCCCTGGGACTTCACCGGGCAGCTCTCGCCCCCAGCCTGCCACGATCTGTCAGCAACCTCTCATCCGCACTGGTGCGACACCCGCTCGCGTCCGCCTGGGGGTATTTTCCTTAGCTTCTCGACCGTTTTCCCCGACACTATTTATTTGAACAGCACTTGAGCCTTGTTCATCTCCACCCTCACCCCTCCCCTGCTTTCATTCATACATTCACCTCTCTCAACAACTTGCAAACCGCACACCAAATATGAGTGTCACCACGTAACTCCAGGAGACTAGGGGAGAGCCTTTCAGGGCACTGGGTTGCTCTGGGGAACGTTTGCACAAAACATGAAGTGCATGTGATCACACGCTCCTCTTCTGCACAAACGTGCAGCTCCAAGCACGGGCAAGGAAATTGTCTCCTGGCAAGCTGCAAAAATCTACCTCCAGGAGCAAGATGCATGGAGGCTTCCTGCTCGCTCAGCTAGACTGAGCGCGCGCGTCTCCTCCGCAGGGCCGGGCTACCCCGCTGCAGGGGTGATCTGGGGGCCCCCCATCCCGTGCACGCACGCGGGGGTGGGGGCAGCAAGGGCGCAGCGCCCGCGGCTTCGTCCCCTTTCACCTCGCGGACTCTCTGCCACCTCCAGCGCGCCGCGCGCCGCGGGGGGACGGCGGCCGGGCCGGCTCGGCGCCGGCCAATCCCGAGCGTCCATGCAAATGAGGCTCCTTATCTGGCCGCGGCTCCGCCTCCGCAGGCCCGGGCCGTAGTAACCCATTCATGGGGCCCGCGCGCGGCTGCAGCCCGGCTCCGCGGCGCTTGCAGCCACCGCCTCCTCTCGGCGCTGGGTCTTCCCCTTCCTTTTACAACTGATCCTGCTGGGATTTTTTTTTTTTTTTTCTAAATTGGAGCGGTGGGGAGGAGCAGGGCGGGGGGACCAGGAGGAAGGAGCGAGATTAGGTAGTCATCAATCTCCTCCTGTTTCTCCCAGAACAGGTGATGCTTCTAAATTGTGTGCACTTTCCGGAGGCTGCGCTGCCGCTGGAAGGATGCGAGCGACCTAGGGCAGAGGGCCTGGGGGGGCAGATTTGAACTTGCGGAGGATAAAACCCAAACTTTGCATCCGACTGTCTTGACCAGAAGCAAAGGACCGTTATTTTTCTCTCTTCACCCCCCCCCTTTTTCTAAGAGAGGCTCAAACTTCGGCACTTGATCCCTTGGATTGTTTTGGAGGAGACGCTTTGGTGACAGCCTTGGGGACAGTGAGGACTGTGTTGTAACTCTTATTTTTAAAGCGACCGTAGAGCAGACTTTTTAAATGTTTGGGATTCAAGATACTTTAGGAAGAGGACCAACTCTGAAAGAGAAATCGCTGGGCGCCGAGATGGATTCGGTCAGGTCCTGGGTCCGGAATGTCGGCGTAGTGGACGCTAATGTCGCGGCGCAGAGGTAAGGACTCGACTGCGCGATCATTATGCTCGCAAAGTCTCTCCCTTTCGGTCCCCAGATCTCTCTGCCTCTCCCTGTTCCCCCCTCCCCTGGCCCTCGCTCTCCCCCCATCTGTCGCTCAGGCGCAGCGCGCTGGGGCTCGCCCTCGGGCAGGCAAGTCGCTGCAGTCAGGGAGCACTTACCCCGCAGCAAGCGCTCGAGTTTTTTTAACTGCCTGGGTTTGCCCCCTATAGACAACTCGTTGGGAGGGAAAATTACAAGCAGCATCCGACGCCTACCCGCTCAGCCCCTAGCCCTGCGCGGCGGGCCGGGCTGAGAGCGCAGCGCGAGGACCAGGGCTGGCAGCCGCAGCCGCGCGGAGAGCCGCCGACTCCCTGGCTTCGCCACGCGGCTTCCGAGAGCCTCTGCTCCAGCATCTTGCTGGAAGATTCCTGGAGGCCGGGAGCCCGGCGGCTGGATGGCGGCGGCGGCTGGAGTCAATGGAGAGGCCGCAGCGCGGCTTGGGAAGGCAAAGAGGCCCGGAGCTTTGGGAGGAGGAGACAGGCTGGAGGGTTCCGGCCAGAGATAAAACAGTGGTCCAGACGCTTGGAGGAGGGGGTGAGAAAGGGAAGAGGAAGGAATAACAGTAGAATAAGCCGCAGAAGAAGGCGCGGGAAGGAGGCGCGCCGAAAGGCAGGGATGGGCAACCTCGAGTTTTGCGGGTCTCCAAAGTTGAGTTTGTTTCTTAGCGTCGGTGAGCTGAGATAGGAAATGCCTTATTCAAGGTGCCACCCTGCGAGGACATTCTGGTCCCCTCGCTCACCACCACTGCTGAGCTGGGATTTGTGGTGTCATGTCCTTGTTTGCCGAAAGGCAGCTCCTGTCCCCCCCAAAGAGCTCACTAACTTCTTCCCACAACCCCAGTCACCCCATCCGTCCTGCTGGTCACCCCCCTCTAAGTCCGGACACCAGGCGGAGAAGTTCTTCCTTCCCCAGTCAGAATTCGTGTCCAGGTGTCCCGGATAGAACGAACCAGTCGCCACCTTTGGAGGGAAGGAAGCAAAAGTCGCGCGGCTCTGGGAACCAGGTCAGGTTGCGGCTCCCACCCGCCGGCCCAAACCCAGGGCGCACCGCACCCTCCGGCAAACCCGGATCGAGGCTTTTCGCTGCCGTCCGGGGACTCGCTGGGTTGCCGGCGGAGGGAAATCAGGCAGTACCGAAGGGCAGGCGCCGGGGCGCATTTCCTTAACCGAGCAACTTAAAGACACCTCCCTCCTTTTCCGCGGATCAATAATTAAAGTTGGAGCTGGCCGCTCGAGTGGGGGAGTGTAACTAATATTTAACACTCTTCAAATGAGTAAAAGTGCTCCCGCGCTGGACAGGAGGCCAGGAGACCCCCGCGCCACAGGGCAGCTCCAGCCATCTGTGCGCTGGCCTGGGCCCCTGAGTCTCCTGTTAAATGTGATCTGACGACCAGTTTGTCTCTGGCCCCGACAGGTTGGCGGGGAGATGTGTGCACACGCTCCCTATGCTTGACTGCATCTCCCAGGGCCTCCAACACGGGTTTGGTGGTCAGCGGGTTTGGCTGGTACTGCCTGGAGCTACAATCCGAGTGGGGATCCCTTTAGCCCCAGGCAAGGACTCACTCAGCCTCTTAATAACATTTTAGCTTCTCCAGGCTCAACTGGGGTTCCCAGTGTCACTCCTACTCCCATTACTGGTGGCGGGGATTCCTCTCTTCCACTGTCCCAGGTGCAACTTTTGGGGAGAGCAGGGAATCGGGGTGAGGCCTCTTCCGGTAGGACAGAGACTTGGGTTCTAGTCTTCCATCCTGCCCCCAGGGGATTCTTACCCTGGCCTTTCTGAGTTAGCATGGGTGGCATTGTGGGCACTAGCTCCAGACAGGCAACTCAATGGTGATGAAGTAAAAAGGTCACCTCTTATAAGACAACTAGGCACTTTTTGTCCTAACCCTGGATTTCAGGTCTAAGTCCTGACCCAGTTACTGGTGCCACTTGAGGGAGATCATAGGGGTGACAGGGCTGATAATACTTGGGCTGCTCTTTGGGGGAATGGCTCAGGGCCTCCATCTGTGGTCAGGATCCTTCAAGTCTTCACTAAAGGCCAGACAGTGAGCTTCTTGGTGCTGGGATGTCCAGACACTGGACCGCAGGGACAGTAGCAGCTGGGGGTGTTGTGCTTGCCACCTGCCACCCGAGGCCACTGCAACTACTGCGAGGAGTCCGGTCTTCTCAATCTGAACTGAGATAGGTGGGGTGGAGTGCAGGACTCTGAACCTGCGCCCTTGACCCCCTGCAGGGTCCGGTGCGTTGGTAACAAGGTATCTTTCTCTCTTAACCCTGTGCCTGGTGACCTCGTGTCTCTTCTTATGCAGTGGAGTCGCTCTCTCTCGGGCCCACTTTGAGAAGCAGCCTCCCTCCAACTTGAGGAAATCCAACTTCTTTCACTTCGTGCTGGCGCTCTATGACAGGCAGGGGCAGCCGGTGGAGATTGAGCGCACAGCCTTCGTAGACTTTGTGGAAAACGACAAAGTAAGTGGAGTCCCTCTGTTCCCCTGGCGGTCTAATAACTACCTCCTTGCAAAACACTAAAGATTCCATCTGTCACTCGCAACACATTTCCCCTCACATCATCAGGGATGATAAATCGAGGCTTCTCACCTCAACCTCTAAATCAATCGATTTCCCCGCACCTCCTCCAGTCGCCACTCGCGCACCACCCGCGGCAGGAGCGCTCGGGGCTCTGTGCTGGGAGCCTCTGAGTCTTGGACTGCGCTCGGGGCGAATACCCTTCCCACTGGAGCATAGTTTAAAACTATAACCAAAGCCGCCGCTGTCCTTCTCCGGGGCAGTCATTTAAAAAATGATAATGATTTTGCGCCTTCCAGCGCCGGTGGGTGGGTGAAATGGCACAGAACGGAAACGCACAGCCCAGCCTTAGCCGCGCTTTCCCGACTGAGCCTTCTCTCTGCAACCTAGGCCCGGGCTCAGGGCGAGGTTTGATATCAAAAGAAGCTAGGGAGGGAGAGTCTCTCGCCCGCCCAGGGTCTGTCTTCTCAGCTTTACAATGCAAACTTTAGAGCTGCGCTTCCCCGAGTTCCTCTTCCACCTGGGCCTCGAACTCGGTGAACTCGGTGGCCCCCGGAGGCCCCGGTCCTGGCGCGAGAGGCTGGAATATTGTCCTGCCAATAGACAGGACCCCTTACCTTTCTGCCAAGAGAAGCCTGGCAGCTTCCTGAGGGAGGACAGAGCCGTGGCGGTCTTGGGTGGGGCCGGCTTAAGGGCAGTGGTGGCGCGGTGTCCGCTAGTGCGGCGGGAGAGCAGCGTTCTGCGGGCATTTTAAAGCGGGAGCGCAGAGGGATGGAGCAAGTCAAGCGACCTCGAGCCTGGCAAGTGTCGGAGGCCGGCCAGCGCCAGACGTTCCTGCCTTAGACCCTGGGGGGCTGGGCCGAGGTCTGTTCAAAGCCGCGGGGTGAGCCAGAGAAAGGCTTCTGGGAGCGCGGGAGGGAAGCGCGCTCTCTTCTTGCCATCGTTTTGGGTGTTTTGGGTGTTTGTAAACAAGCAACTCAAAGGCGGCCTGTCTTTTCAGGAACAAGGCAACGAGAAGACCAACAACGGCACCCACTACAAGTTGCAGCTTCTCTACAGCAACGGTGAGCGCTGCGCCGACTGGGCGGGCGCGTGGCAGCCGGGCCGCGCCTCGCCGGCACCTTGCGCTTTCCAGGAAGGCAGTAGACCTGGGCGCTGTAGTTTGGGGGCAAGGGAGTGGGGAGCTGACTTTTGGGAGGCGCGGGCAGGGCGGCGGGGGCGGGGGGCGCTAGGTAGTCTAACTCCCCACCCCCCACCCCCGCCGAGACAGCTCAGCGTGCGCGCCGCAGCCTGGAGCCGCTGCCCAGGTCTCCGCGCCGCGCGGGGGAGACGGTTTTGGGGTGCCTGGGGTTGGGGGCTCCGCGACCCTTGACTCGTATCCATTTCCCTACCCCGCAGGTGTCCGCACCGAGCAGGACCTGTATGTCAGACTTATTGACTCGGTCACCAAGCAGGTGAGCGGGGTGGGCCCTTCGACGACTCCTCCTTGGGGCTGCTTCTCTCTCTCCATCCTCTGCCTGTCCTTGACCTACCCCACCCAACGCAATCTCCTGGGTCAGACTTCACCTGCTCCCCCATCAATTCGCACCTTATCCACTCTGGGGGGAAAAAATACCCTTTCTCCCTCTACCCAGGTGTCTCGTTTCTTTCTGGTTGGGGGGACGGGGAAGGGGTGGAGATGTTGGGTTAGGTGAGCAAAGGTTTAAGGAGAGGAAGAGATTGTGGGACATTCAGTTTCCCCAAACATTCTCCTCTGCAAGAAGTATGTCCTCACCCGAGAAAACCTCTGTTGTTATTTCGCTGGACTTAACCAGGCCACAACTTAGGTTCTGGGCTGCCAGCGGGAGCTGGGACAGAAATAGTGGGAGTGAGAGGGAAACATGGTTCTGTGCTGGATTTAAAGTCCCCTTTTCTTTGTCCCTCCACGCCTCCCCTTCCTGCTCCCATCTCCTTGCAGCCCATAGCTTATGAGGGACAAAATAAGAATCCAGAAATGTGCCGAGTTCTCCTGACACACGAAGTGATGTGCAGGTAAGAGCGCATTGCGTTGCGGGCTTTGCCGACAAGCTGGGCAGCTGATCCGCGCCGGCGAGCTCGCGGGTGTCCATCCCCGGGCACCCACTCACAGGAGGGAGGGGGCGCAGGGGGAGAGGTCTGTCGGGAGCACGTGGCCGGGGCAAGTTCACTAGAACTCCTTAAAGGAAAGTTTTTTAGAGCATGTCGGTTAGGACTGAAAAGGAACTCCACTCAGGATGCCACCCCCTGGCGTCTGAGGAGTTTCCCCGCCACGTGGAAAGTCTCAGCTGCCCAGCGGTAGGCGGCAGCCAGCTAAGGGCTGGGTACGGGTTTGGGATCCCGGGCTTTCCGCGAACTGGTGTCGGCTGTGCGGAGAGGATCACACTGCTCGGGTCCCGTGCGTCTGGCTCTGTTTCCTGGAGGGGTCACTTGTGGAGTTGCGGAATCAAAGCACCGGGTGGACTGCAGTCCGGGTGAGGGGCAGCCGTGGGTTGAGCGTCCTGTTTGTGGGCGATCTACCCCCTCGCCCGCCAAAGCTCAGGCACCTGTCAGTGACCGGAGCGCTTTCTCCAGGGAGTTACTTCTCCTAAGGCTCTTGGATTAGGAAAGTTTCTTAGGTCAGGAGGAACAGCGGATGGATGTATCAGTCCATTTCACTAGCAGCAGTGAGAAGGGCCAGCTGAGGACCCCCTCTGGAAGACCTGGGGTCTGGACCAACAGGGAATTCGGATAAGCAAGTTGTCAGAGGCGCAGTGGAATTTCTACACCTTTCCACGTCTGCCTCCGCCCCCCATCAATCCATTGTATTTTGAATTATTTCTTATACTAAGAAATTTTTTTTTTAAGAAATGGAAGAACTTCATCCACATACATACTTACTTATTCTTTCAGTGAATGTTTATTGAGTGTTGAGGACCCGACTTTGCATTGGGGACCCGACTTAGCATTGGGGATCCTACTGCATCTCAGTATATATAAAGGAAACTCTGGGCAAAGAGTGTTATTTTACTATAAAAATTTAAGTATTTATCCCATACTCATTTTTCTTCCTCCAAGATCTATGATTGGAACAAAATCTCAATTCTTCCTCACTCTGTTATTGCTTTTGTGACCGTTCTCCAACCTCGGACTTGCTAGTATTGGGTAGCTGGGCATCTGATTTAGTTTAGACTATTTTTTGGGCAGCTCCCGGCCTCAGTGTCTAACCCTCCCCTCCGCTCCCCAGTAGAGAAGAAACCATAACAATCAGGCGTGTTTATTTTGGTTTTGACCAAGTATTAGAAAAACAAACTTTGCCAAATGCAAAGTTCAACTCTGCCAGTGGCCTCAGCTAGGGGACCCGAGGCTTCCTGGGCCGAGCTGGAGTAGCCCAGCAAGGCGCTCTGCGATGTGGTGAGTGAAATAGCTACTTCATTAACCCACGGCCCCTGACAGAGCCCTTCAGAAAGAAAATACAATTCCAAGATGAACTTGCATGTTCAACCCAGGTTAAATAGCCAGACACTTTGATTTGGTTGGCTAATAGGAGGGTGGATTTTTATTCCTCTTTATACTTTTAAATATCTTGGTTTAGAGAGATTATCTTCTGAAAAGAAAACCAAAAATCTGGCCCATTGTCTAACAAATTATTCCTATCTCTGTAAATAATACTCCTACACCCCATCCAGCTGTAGTTAAGGTTGACATTTTTATTTTTAAGCCCAATCAAATCCTCCTCATTTTATGCTGTTTAAGTAGCGGCATCAATTTTTAAAGCCTCTAGTTTAGTCTGTATTAGTAACACAATATAAAAATTTAATGTTCTGTAACTTCTCTGCATTTGAGATTTAGGATGATGCTCTGCTATTTTTTCTTCCCAAACTAGGATTTAAAGTAAATATTAATTGTGGGTAAATAAATGATCCATTGGCTGGGTACTGTGTCTGGTGTGTGTGTGTGTGTGTGTGTGTGTGTGTGTGTTTGTGTGTGTTTGGGGAGATGAACTGGGGTGATGGCAAATATTGGCTGTACCTAAAAGGGAAGTTCTCATTCAATCTGTCAGTCAGAGCTGCTTGATTTCCCTAGTAAGGGATAAAAGTTCCTTCTCCCACATTTTCAGAGCCAGTTATAACAGTCAGTAATTGAAAGATGATCAGTTGCCCTGATTCTCAATGGTTATTGCACACACAGTATTTAGAGTCACTTGCTTGGTGTTCTTGGGCATACCTGGGAATTTCCTTGAATGGGTTTATGTTCTGTAATCCTTAGTGAAAAGCTCATAAATTGGTATTTAGCTTGGAGGGGGGGGGTGCGACAAAATAAATCTCTTCAGGAATAACTTTTTCTCCATTCCCAGGTTGTCTCTGCTTCTTGCCTGCTTTAGTTCATTTTGCCAGTTATTAGCAAGGAGAAATCTAGTTGTTATGTCGCTGCCAGTCACCTCTGTGCCCTCAATGCTCAGAGGGTTAAAAGATATTATAATTTGAACAGAAGTCGTCTCAAGGCCTACAGCTGGCTAATAACAGAGTTGTATTGAGCGTGAGCAAACCCCACAGCTGTGACTTCTCGCCACAAGGCGCAGGCTAGACAGGGCCCTAATCAGATGGGCCAGCCGGCCAGTGGGGCCAGTGTCTTTATCGGCCAGATGGTGTGAATTTAGACACTTTTGTTATGCAATCGCAGGGAGGAGTTGGGGAGAAGAAAACAAAACAAAAGCCACCATGCTGTGCGCTTATTTGAGTTTGAAATTAGAGACAGATTTTTGAAAGTTGAGGGTTGAATTTTAATACCGATTTTGGAGGGGAAAAGGCACATTTTCTGTGTTGAGCAGGAGCTGGGCTGACTGGACAACCCAGTCCTGGGCTGTGTTTTTTTCTCTTCTCCAGTCACCTCTTACACCTTTCTCTCTCTCTCTCTCTTTTTTTTTTCTTCTGAAAAATGCAGGTAAGATTCAGGATTGGGATAAAATTTGTCGTATTTCCTCCTCTCCAGTTCTCCTCCCCAACTTGTTTTATTTTTTCTGTTTCCCTTTCCAAAGGCTCCATGTGGAGATGTGGAGGGCACAAGAGAACGGTATGCAAATTGAGACAAAAGTTTCTCTAAAAATTAGGTACAAAAATAAAACAGACCTAACTAAGCCAAACAGGAGCAGAGGAAGAGCTTTCATTTTCATTCATTAGGTAAAAAGGCACCTCTGAGTCTCTCTGTGGGAGTTAAGAATACAGTGCTAACCAGTACCAACTTCCATTTCCTCTTCTCTTTGTTTAATTTCCTAATTGGAAGTCCTATTCCCTTGTAAAAACACTTGTCAAAAACTTCAGAATTGTTCATTGGAAAGTGACCCGAACAAATCTTTTAACTAGACTAGTTGAACCTGAAGTTGGTTACTCAGGCTTTGTCCACACAGCAAAGGGGAGAGAGGAGTCTGCTGTCTGAATAATTCAGGGACCCAGTTTCTTTGCGTCATTTATCCACATACCTGACTCCAGAGTGATGGTTTGGCAGCTGGGTTCATGAATGTCTTCCCCTTTCCACTTCCCGTTGCTTATGTTAATATTGCTGGCATGAGGACTGAGCGCTATTTATGAATCCAATAAATACTAACTAGGACAACTTGATAAGACTTTTAGAAGGAAGAAAGAAAAAAAGAATTAGCTTTGACTCAGAGAAATTTTTAGAAGGGCTCAAATAGGGCAAAACCACCAAGTCCAGTTATTTCTTTTTTTTTTTTTAATTTTTTTTTAATGCAGGCATGTTTTATTTATTTATTTGTTTGTTTGTTTGTTTGTTTTATACATGCACTGGGTACAGTCAGAAGCGCGGGAGGGTGAGAGAATTCACCAGAGCCAGAGCGGGGAGCAGAGCAGGCAGAAGGACCGAAGTACACTGCTGAGGGGAGCAGTGGGCGGCAGGAGAGGTCTGTGCGCCATGTGGGACCCTCCTCTGGTGGCCGGGGAGCAGCCGGGGATCGAACCTGCGCTGCAGAGGCTGTGGGCAGCTTCGCAACCCAGCGCTCAACCGCTGCGCCACCGGGGAGGCCCAAGTCCAGTTATTTCTTTTAAAAAAAAATTATTTATTTTTTCATAGACAAACTGGGTTGGAGGCCAAAGGTGTGGTGGGGGTAGTGAGAAGATCACCAGAGACAGAATGGGAAGCAGAACAGGCATATCCACTGAAATATACTGCTGAGGGGAGCAGCCCACCAAACAGGAGAGGTCTGCTGCACCATGTGGGTGAGCTCGCTGGCCTGGGATTGAACTCAGGCTGCAGCAGTGATAGTGCTAAGGCTTAATCCCTAGGCCACCAGGGAGGCCCCAAGTCCAGTTATTTCTAAACTTACATCTTTTCTGCACTGAACATCTACATTAGAGATTATGCTTAAGCAAGCTGCTGTCAAACAATGGAAGATTGGGCCCTAGCTTCTCTGCATTTTTCCTTGAATAACATTTCCTTCCCTGAGTCGATTCCCCACGTTGTATTGTGCTGGCACCAGGCTTACATTTTTATCTGTTTTTCTTTTCCTCCAGAGAAAATCCCCGTGGAAAGCAGCTGAATTCAGCTAAGCAATTTTGCAAACTTACTCAGTCTCTTCAAAATTATTCCTACTCAAACCAAACAGATTGGCACTGCCTGACAGTGTGTGCTCTTGTAATTGAATTGTACCCAACATTGCACATATTTGGGGTTAGGTTGACATGCTGGTGATGTCTAGGAGAGTGGAGTTTGAAGGCCTTTGTGTAACTAGCATGTATGGGGTTTTTGTAATTGTGTTGCTAAGAAAAAAGCCTTGCTTGACCTGCAGAGGTATTCTGCCGAAGTAAGCAATAGAAACAGGAGAGGTGGAGATGAAGTGGGTGGGGATAGAGAGTTGGGAAGAGAGACAAGTGCTTTAGAAAAGGTGGGAGAGCAGCTGGCCAGCATTTTTATTGGTGTTAATCTTGGGATGGATAGAAATTTTAAAAGTTAAGACCTAATATAATTTCAAAGGCAAAATATTATTTCAGAAATTCCCAGTAGCAAACTTGGGTGTTAAAAAATTGAGACAATTTTCCTTTTGCTTCCTACTAATTTGATTACATTTCTTAAAACCTCATTGCACCCATCTCGTGAAAATTCTTCAGCTGCTCTCAAGTAAATTTTACTTTTTGAGAATGGTAGAATTGCTCACTGAGTGAGAGATGAAGATTTTAAAAGTTTTCAATAATATTTGTTTGTGATTCTGTGGTTGAGCAGAGGGCAAGTGGACAGCAGAGAACCATAAAAGAAACCTATGACTGGTGGATGTCAGGCCTTTGGGCCTGTCTTGTCACATGGCTCCTCTTTTACTTACCCTGTCATTACTTTTAAATGGTGCTTAGGGAACCTCATAATCCCATGTATTTCTTTCTTTCTTTTTTTTTTTTTTTTAAAGAGGTAAGTGGGGGAGGTGAGAGGGGGTAGGTGTGAGGATTCACCAGAGACAGAACAGGCAGATTGACTGAAGTACACTCCTGAGGGGAGCAGCGGACCTGTTAGGGGAGGTCTGTTGCACCATGTGGGTAGCTTCCTGGTCAGGGATTGAACTTGTACTGCAGTGGCTGCAGATAGGTAGGTTGTGTCTTAACCCCTTGCGCCACCAGGGAGGCCCAGTCCCATGTACTTCTTAACCTAGAAGAAGTCTAGAGATGATCTAGAGCTGCATTTACATTTTATATACAAGGAAGGCAAAGCCCAGGGGTTAAAGAGATCTGAGGACATTCATATTGCTAGTTAGTGAGAGTGGTGGGTCAGATGTTAGAGGCCTGGTTCCCCCTCTAGTGATCTTTCTGTTGTGCTGGATTGATCTGACTATAGAGAATCTATCAGGGGAAAGACTATGCTTACATATAATTTGTTTATTGCTGACATTTATAAGAGATATTTCCCAGCCAGTGTGGATGATAATATTTTTCCTATATGCCAGATCAAGGCTATATTCTCAATCAGTTAGATTTTTGTGGACCATTTTCTTTCACCCAGCTGAGAGGTATTCCTTGTCCTGACAGACAGGCAGGCGAGCAACAAGGGAGGTGCCTGCTGGTACTTCCTAGCCCCTGAGCTTCCTTTGTCCTTTTCACATTCATGTACATATTTCATAAGGTACCTTTGGATTGGAGTGTTTTTTATTTAATTCATACATTTTGATTACTTAGAGTCTACTTACTTTTTTTTTTTTTTGGTATATAACTTATCCCTACTTATTTCAATAGAGTTGTCAGACATCAATGTACAAATATAAGGTGCATGGCATAATAACTTGATTTACGTATTTTATGAAATGATTACCATAATAATTAGTTAGCAGCCATTATCTCAAAAGATAAAGGAAAAAGAAAACACAAGTAATTTGTTCCCTTATGATGATAAGGACCCTTACGACCTACACTTCTGTTAACTCTCCTACATACGGGACAGTGTCAACTATAATCATCATGCTGTATATTACGTCCCTCGGAATTGTAACTGGAGGTTTACACCACTCAACCACCTTCAGATTGGAATGTTTTGCACTCTGCTTAGGTCCTTCTGCATCCTTCCTTTCTTTTGTTATTTTTCTAGGGCTCTCCTTTTTCTCTTCCTCTCAGTCAATTCCACAAGCATATTTGGAGCACCTACTAAGTACCCAGCACTTTGCTGCATGGTGATCTTGGGAAGCAGACGTTCAAGACTGGGGCTCCCATGTTGGGTCCCCTTTCTGTTCTGGACTTGGTGAAAATGATTGGTGATATGGTTGACAGCTCCCTAACTCATTCCTTCCTATTCATATAATACAATGTGCATCATAGTTCTTTTCTTTGTCCTCCATCTTTAGAAAATGACGGAAATGAATGAATGAATGTTTATAAATGTTTATAAATTGCATTGAACTTTCTGGAAAATAAGTGTTATGTAAATAAGGTTTATACTAATCCAGGGAGTTACCTGGGGGTCTATTTTATACATGTTCCTTCTCCTTCTTTCTTCAAATATTTATTGAGGCATAAAGACCTAAAGTATACACTCATAAAATCAATCAATAGGGGCTAAAGTGAAATTATAGATCTTAAAATTCAACTGTCTGTGGTTCTGATAAAAAAATATGTGATTTCCTGAGAATTATCCAGGTTAAAAGTCACAGAGTGAGAATTTGAATGAGTATTGCTCAACTTCAAGTTCAGTATTGTTCTTAAATATGACTCTAAATTCTGTTCTTGAACAGCTGCTAGTTGAGAGGCTACCTACAGAATATTTCTTTTTTAATGAACATTCTTACATTTGTCATGCGCATTGTACTATCTTGATTTTTAACAAATTTCTGTTATTCTTTTCCTTCCTTCCCAATCTACAGTCGATGTTGCGAAAAGAAAAGTTGTGGAAACCGAAATGAGACTCCTTCAGACCCTGTCATCATCGACAGGTAGGGGGAAAATTGATTTTGAAAACATGGTTTGGTTTCCTTCCTTGATGAAATTCAACCCTGAGTGGTAATGGCTTGGGTTTGGCTACTTGGTTGACCGTGTCTTATCATCAAGCTAGTCCAGCTTGCATTTTCTTGTTCAGTCCCCTTGAAAGAAGTTAGAGTCTCCCTTTTTGAGGCTGCGTCTTTAAATCTATGACAGGATTCATTTCCAGGTGTGTTGACCTCAGCCTGGTAAGGGCTGTGTGGATAGTAAAAGATACCATCTTTCCCATCTGGAGGGTCGGGCCTTAATCAGTGATGCAACAGAAAGGGTACCCCAAGTTAAGCAGCAATCCCTTTATCATTTTTAGTGACTGCTGTTGGAGTTGAAGACAATCAATTTACATGACGGTTTAGGGGATGAAGCCAAGCTCTCTGTTGCATGGAGGGAGATTCCTTTCTACCACAGAGGACTACATTCTGGGTTCTCTGTTATATTCAGAGTGGGAAAGATTCTTTGGGACATGATGCTAATTCATTGAAATGTGATTTAGGCATTCTCAGCTGTCTGTTTTTGTGATTGGAAACAGAACTTACAAACCAATGAAGAAATACCAAATTAACTTCCAGCAATCATGTAATTTTTAAGAAATCCCAAATTCCCACCCCTAATTTTTTCTCTTTCGTTAAAAAACGGAATAATTCCCTGTTGCTCCTTTCCTTGGGTTTTCACGTTTGTAGTCAGGTCCTGAAATGGATCGGAGAGACCACAGTCTCCAAAGTTGTTATTCCAATATTCCAATGAATTCTCAGTTGGGAGAATGGAACCTCTGGCATTCTTCCCAGAAAGCCAGCTTGGTTTCTTCGTGGAAAGTATAGCATAGCCCTAGGAATGAGGAGGCTGGAATTCCAATCCTGTTTTAGCTTCTGACCTCGAACAAAGCACTCAACATCTCTGTTCTTCCATGGTGTACTGGTGGATTGGAGGATGTTGCCTGCTGCAGCTGCGGGTTTCAGAAAGCTCCTCAGATATCCATGGTGACTATGCAGTCTTCTCCAAAATGCTTGGAAGAGCATGATAACAAAATATAAAATGTTTGCTGAATGTGTGTGGTGACTTTGTCATCTTAGGAATTCGGTGAGACCCATTTTAGGGAGTTCTTTGGAATTTCTTTGGCTTTTCTGAAAGTGCGTAGATGTTTAAAATGAAAGAGTGGCAAGAACTCTTTGAGGTCTGCTGTCTTTCTCATTTGATAGGAGGGCTGATCCTGGGAATGGTGAAGAGACTTGTCATGGTGGTGCAGCTGCAGGAGCTGAGCTTGTCCCTGCTTCTAGGTTCATGTTCCACTTCTTTCCTTCCCCCTCCTAACTTACATGAGCTGGATGTGCTGATTGCACATCACATCGTTCTTCAACTTCCCAAAATGCCCTCCTGGACTTGGAGGGTGTGGGAGGGATTTGAAACATAGGAGAGCAGCCTAGAGGCAGATTCAGTCCTTTCCAGTGTGAAGACTGAGCTCACTATCTTCCTCTAACCTTTTTTACTAACTTCAGTTTCTCTTTTATGAAGGTACCTCTAACCACATGATGGTTACATCTTTTCTTGTAATAAACACCCCATAAACCACCTTTGGAAATATTTGCAAACCTGTGACTGCTAACCTGCCCCTTACATCATAATGGCTCTGTACCCAGAAGCAGTTCTTACTTGAAAAAAACTGCATATAACTTGCACTCACAGATAAAGCAGGATGTTTCACGCTTTCTTCCTATGTAATATATATGCTACTGAGGAAAGTAGTCTTGCTCTATGGAGAAAGAAAGATTTTCCTATTAGATGCCTCCCTGTTTGTGCTGAAATGCCTTAGATTCTTTGGAGAAGGTGGAAATTGGATCTTGGTGCATATTATGGAGCTTTATGTGACTGTGGCATTTATTTTTACTATCCTGTGCACAATAAAACAGCCCCGTGATGTCTCTGCATCACTTGAAATATGTGTTACTTCCGAAATGTTATGTGTCTACACATGGAAACATACATACCAAAGGGTACTGTAAATTGACTGATATCAGGTTTTAAGAGAACCCATTATTATAAACAGATGCATTTGTTCAACTTATTCATTGCAGGGCTTTTGTTTGGGGATATCATTCCCTCACTCAAGCCTTGTCTTATTGCTTCTGAATGTCTTCTTGGGCTTACCTTCACTACCTCATTACCTTCATTTATGGAAATAAAAAGGGATGATGTCAGGTTTCCATTTCTGGGAGGGGGATGTATCCAGGGGACTGGTCTCTGGGTTCAGTGTCTGCCGACTTGGAGATGTCAAAATCCCCCACGAGCACCAAACGGGTACAAAGTAGTCTATTTTGGATTTCCTCTGAGTAAATATAGAACTCTCTTCTTTGCCCTTGTTCCTCTAATGCCAACTAATTATCTCCTCCCCCGCCTCACTCGATCTAACCAGATGCAGTTAATTTACACCGTCTCTCTTGGAGTTTTCTCACACAACAGGCACGTTCCACTCTGGCTCTGCAGCAGCCTGTGTATTCCCTCAGAACGAGGCACCTTGAATGGAGGAGGGGAAAGGGATGCGCAAGGGTGGCTCCCCAACTTCTCAATGCCATGCACCCCTTTTATTTTTTTCTTGGTGAATTCAGGATTTTGCAAGATTTTGCCTGCCAAACTGTAACTAATATGTGATAATTCATCTGTAATTCTATTTTTATTAACCAAAAGACATAACAGAACGGGAAGGCAATCTTATCCCAGAAGTGCCCTTGATCTCATCAATGGCCGGAATTTTTGATTCCAATGAGACGACCAGTGTTACCACACTGACTTAATAAACTTCCAGCTCAAACATGAAACAACTTGACTTTTCATTTAGCCCATGTGACCACATCCTGGGCAGATATTCTGTTTCCAATAGGCTGCTTGAAATATGAAAAATAGCTTTTACTGCCTTATGGGCCTTTAAGTGAAAACTATTGGTTTTTACAAAGGGGCATCCCCCATCAGGACTTCTCTTTTTCCTAAATCTTAGCCCCAGACTGGGACTTTTTCCCCTGCTAATTACTCCCTGTCATGATCTCTGTAGATACAAAGTTAGTTTTGATTTTCAGTTGTTTTTGTGAATTTTTGGCCAGCAACACACCCCTCTCCAAAAAGCCAGGCCAGCACATAGCCCAGCAAGACAGCTGCTGAATCATGGGCTTCCAAAAGATCCTTCCTTCTGCGTGCAGATGTGTGTAGAGTGGGAGTAGGTTTATTAATTTTTAGTGCAAAATTCCAAAGTCCCTATCTGAAAAAACAAAAACAAAAGAACAGAATAAGATAGAACAGCAATAAAAGCATAATCCTTGTTGTGGTCTTCAGCCTAAATCTTGTCTATTAAGACTTGTTTGTGGAAATAAAAAGGCCCAAACTGATTTATATTTTGTGGTTTCAGAGGGAAGCTCTAATTCAACCTTGCTTTTCAGAGGCTGTGCTCTTTTAAGACTCCCTTCTTTATTTGAAAGCTTCTCTGAATAGCTACTGAATCTCTGGGTCTCAGGATAATCTGGTGGTCTTTGGGAAGATGTGGGAGAATAAAGAGACTCCTTACTGCTCCTGTTCTTGTGACCCCTTAAAAAGTCAGATGAATGGACAGGGCACAATTTCTTTTTGAATGTTTATAGGCAGCTTCTGACCCAGTGCACACAGGTAGAATATTTTCTACTAAAGAGGCAGGTCCAAACTATTTCTCACATGCTAAATAGCCCAGTCTTTTGTCCAGCGACACCTCTGCTAGGTATTTACTCAAAACATGTAAGCAGTAATAGAAAAAGATTTCTGTACTCCTGTGTTCACAGTAGCACTAGTAACAATCGCCAAGTCATGGAACCTAAGTGCCCAATGACAGAGGCTGGATGAAGAAACAGTGGCTACATTCTCAATGGAATACTACTAGCTATTTAAAAAGATGAGCTAGTGCCTTTTGGGACAGACTGAATGGACTTTGAATTGATTGTTCTAAGTGAAATAAGTCAAAAAGTGAAAGGCAGATATTAGGTGGTTTCACTTATCGTGGACTATAAATAACCAAAACAGACATATTCTGGCAAAACACAGCAATTACATGTCTTGGGACTTCGGTCTTCTCATTTCTGAGCTCTATTCCCAGAAGAACCATTTTACATGTTGATATGCTTTTGTTTATTTTCTTTTTTAAGAAGCCAAACAAATAACAGAGTGACCCTCATTTAAAAGGTTTACTCAAAAATAACTGATGGCTAGTTGTCCATGAGGGGTTTTCCTGGTATTATCCTCCCTTTTGCTTAAAAAAAAATTTTTTTAAACCGTGGCAAGATACACACAGCATAAAAGCTATCATCTTTATAATTTTTAAGCATATAAGCTTGTTCATTTTGTTGAACAAGTTCATCATCAGCCATCTACAGAGCTCTTCTCATTTTGCAAAACTGGAACTCTGTCCTCATTAAATAGCAACTCCTGTTCCACCCCACCCCCATCCCCAGACCCTGGCAATCACCATTCTATTTTCTGTTTCTGTGAGTTTAGTGACTCTAGGTGCCTTATATAATATTGCACTTGTACTTTTATGTCTGATTTACTTTATTTAGCATAAGATCCTGAAGTGCCTCTAGGTTGCATGTGTTAGTATTTTCTTCCTTTTTTAAGTTGAATAATATCCCACAAATACCATACTTATTTACTGCTATTTGTCAAGGGATACTTGGGTTGCTTTGATCTTTTGGCTATTGTGAGTAGTGCTGCTACCAACATGGCATAGAAAGATTTCTTCACGTCTTTGCTTTCAGTTCTCTTGTGTCTATACCCAGAAGTGGAGTTGCTGGATGATATAGTAGTTTGAGGAACTGTCATACCACATTCACCGTGGCTGCACCATTTTACATACCCAGCAGCAGTGCACAAAGATTCCGATTTCTCTACATCTGCACCAACACACTTGCTATTTCTTCTTTTTTGGAAAGTTGCCATTCTAATGGGTATG